TATACAATTATATACTGTACATACATATATATTTATCCAGATATATTTAAATATTCATTTCAAAATTTATAGTAAATTTCATATAAAGTTATGTTTTGTATATACAGTATTTACTTTTTCCTTTATTATTTCCCTAGGCCTACCATTCAAGTACCAGTTCAAAGCCAAATTTCCCTTTACATTCTGCACAACAAGCGTCAACAATTTTATTTAACATAGTTTACTCTCTCTTATCTTTTAGAGCAAAAAAAATATAAATATACTAATATGAATGTTGGTTAGGATTCTAGTTCATTCCTGATGATGACATAATTAATGTCGAAATATTGAATCCCAACACGATGGCGTGTATTTCAATACTTGGAGTATGTATTATACTTTCTGATTCTAGTTTACTTACCTTAAATTTCATACTGGTTAGTTGATACATAATGTCTGACATGCTATCTCTTATAATTGACCATGTGATCTTGTTATCACTTTGTGCGGTTGTTTCTACTGCTCTTCTTGCTAAGTCATAAAAAGCTATCATGTTCTGTAGCATGCCAACTGTCTTGTAAAATGGACAATATCTGCAGCAAAACAATGATAATCATATATTTCACAAAATTAGGTTTAGTGTCTTATGACTACCAATTATTATTTCATTAATTTATTCACTCTGCTATCTTGTGATTAATTCAAACACTACGTTAATCATACATTCACAATTATTTACTTTGTTATCAGGTTTTTTAATTCACAACTTTATGGTAATCATTTATTCATAAATTCACAACTTATATTTTAATTCACAACTCTACCTGAATCATTTATTCATAAATTCACAATATTTAATGAACTGTTGTTTATTGAGAATGTCTCAACGTTTCGATTTATATTGCTTCAATCGTGTTCATGTGAATAATGGATATCATCACCAGATATTATTCTCCTGAAGGGGGATTGAAACAACTCAATCAAAACGTTAAGACATTCTCAACAAACAACAGTTCTTTAAATTTCAGAATTATTTACGTGGTGTACCGCAAGCATTAAATATATTATTACTTCGCCATGCAAACCTTCAAACTATATTTAATTTGTTCTTATATTTAATTTACATTATCTTAACCATACATTAGTCCATTAGCTTTGTCAATTATTTATTGTTCCATTCGTCTATTTCATTTTATCTTTTCACTGTACCACACTTTAGTTACTTTTTAGAATACTGTTGTGTTGTTTTAGTTTAGCGTCTAATTCTCAGTTACATCATATTGATGTAATTTAATTACTATAAATTCAACGGACTTTACCTATCATAGGGTGTGAAACCATTTTGCTGCAAGAAATCATCCTTTATTAGTTTAGCAACCTCAAGTGTGATTTTATCCGATTCTGCGAGGGAGCCTTTTCCTACTAATTGCACAATCTCCGACAAATCTTCCTCCTCTTGTAAAATTTCCTTCACCTGTAGAGAAGTCGTTGAATTTTTCGTAATGGCCACTTAATCACATAAATAATCAGATGCTGTCCTAGAATTAATGAGTACTCAGAACAGATGCAAGTTATACGATTATACCATAAGTTATTGAGACAGAATCCATAAAATAAACATTAGCCTAATACCACAAATTACTCACATAAATGTGAACAAATATATATCATCAATTATGCATGCATCAAGTTTTACAAGAGCAGACAATTTAAATAAAATTAGAAATGGAAATATAGGTCAACAATAACATTATTTTAAACATGCAAAAATGAATAACATTAATAATAATATTGATAATCATTAATCACATTTGAAAATTTGTTTCTGATATTTTGGAAATACCACATGTGGTTTAATGATTCTATCGACTGGTTCTGTAATTTTATTTATTTGATCTCCAAAATACAATAAAATAATAAAGCGAATCTACTTACCTTGGTCCTAAGGGGTATAAACTCTGGGTAATTTTTGTCATAAAACTCATCCAAGGCTCGCATATACTTGGAGTAACTGATAAGCCAATTGATGGAGGGAAAGTGCTTCCTCTGGGCTAGTTTCTTGTCCAGACCCCAAAATACTTGTACAATACCAAGTGTAGCTGAAGTGACTGGATCAGAGAAGTCTCCGCCGGGTGGAGAAACACTATCAGAAATGAGAAGGATTATCGTTATTGGCATGTCCGGTTGTTTAACGACTTAAAAACTCTTAATTGAGAGAGTTTGTTTCGTTATTAAAGAGGAAGGGGGAAGGAACAAAAAGACATAAGTGTGAGCACTTTTACCATCTTTACATGTTTACGTTAAGCGCATAGGTCTCCACAATAATGTGTTCTATTAAAGTAGACCATTATTACTAATATTATTATTATAATAGCATAACAACTATATAGCAACAATTTAATAATATTAAAATTAATACAATTTATATTAAATAATAATACCAATCAGAAATTTGTTAATGGTATGATGTATAAAAACCAGCTTAGAGCCAAATAAATACATACGCTCCAACGATGCTAACACTACCCTCTCTGCTAGGATTTCCAAGACACTGAACTCTGCCAGCCCTCTCATAAAAAGAAGCCAAACGAGCCCCCAGATATGCTGGGTAGCCACTGTCTGTAAACAATAAAGCAGACCTTTTGCAGTACACAGCATTTTGTATTCATTTATAATAATAGTTAAAAAGGAAGGTACTCAAACTGTTCCAGTTCTATTATATATTCAAATTAACATGTTTAAGTTGCATTTATATTCAATACTGAATGTGATAGCGAATGATTAATAATAAAATAGAACAGTAAGATGTATAATAGGTAATAGCATAACAGAATTAATACTTTTATTGTGTTAAAACATAATTAGTATTCAGGCATGCAGACCAAAAAGAATTGAACTTCTTGAGTGATGAGTGAACGCTGGCTTACCTGCCGGCATTTCAGCGAGTCGACCTGAGATTTCACGCAACGCTTCAGCCCAACGAGATGTGGAGTCAGCCATCATTGATACATTGTAGCCCATATCACGAAAGTATTCCGACAAGGTGATTCCTTTTAGCAGAAATTACATCATTACAGATGATGATTGATGACAGATACAATCAAATGATAATACAAATGCAATCATTTTATTCAACTTGATATAGCCTATATGCTAGAGGATATGGTTCAGTTAAAGAAAAATAAACAGAGACTTATATAGAAATAAACAAGTATAATTGCAAAAGGCACACCAAAAATAACAATTTGAATTGCTCACTTATATGAATGACATGAATGGGAGTCGCAGACCACAATAAAATTATGTACAGAAATTCTGTTGATATACTGTATAGGGTGTGTTTACAAGACTATAAGAATGGTGTATTTGTTAGTCTGTTAATTGACACGAGATATTTTTGTGGGGAGGGGTTTAAAAAATAGACAGTACCTGTAGTAATATAATTGATCATATTTTAAGTGTATCACTGTGCTATTTATTACTACAACAGCAATGATGATATTAATGTTAATATTAAAATAATAATAATGAAGTAATTTCTGTTTTTTTATTAATAAAAACCAGGAATGATTGATGTTCACACTATTAAGGTTTACGCGAAATACACCTGTTTTAAAGACTCAAGGAACGAAATTACTGTAGATGTAGGCATACAGCCAGGCAGAAGGCCGCCGAGTCTAGACTAGTTTACAAATTCACAATTTTTACTTGTCTGCACCGACAAAAAGTAAGTGACTGTACAATGTATTCTCTCGAATGCTTTAAGAAGTGTTTATTTCTTTGACGAATGTATCAAAATAGCATTACAAACAAGTTCTTCTGAATCAATACAAATTACAATATTTATTCATCGTATCCGTAATGTGGTACTGCTGATGTGTAGTTAACGTGTACAGCATACACACAGCTAAATGTAAATATGCACACAGTATACTGATCATATCACTATAGCAACCGATGACTGCTACAACAGTTGGTAATCAAAACTAACATCAAAAGATGGCGATTGACTTATAAAGCAATTAGGAGAGCATGCATCGTACTCTAACAGAAAATTATTATACTTGGTTAGATTTAATGCATTCAAAAATTTCTTTCGGGCCTTGCAGGACCTCAGGAATTTTTTCAAGCATTAAATCTAACCTTTGTATAATAATTTTTCTATAGTGTACTATGCGAAGCTCTACTAATTGCTTATAATCGTATATTGAACAAGTAAAATATTAACCTGTGTAGATGGAGGCCTCTCTGGCAGCTACAGGCATATTAGAGGTGTTAGCTACCAATGCTGTCCTCTTCATAATTGATTCAGTTTTACCATTTATTTCAAGTGTAAGCTGTAAAATATCAATCAATCAATTTTATTGCAGTAAACAATCTTATTTTAAAGAATAATAAAAAGAGACGAAAATAACAGAAATATACATTTTATATTGGATTTGATTTATTTAATATGCTCTTTAAAAATACAAAACAGAAACAAATGCACATGAACGGATAAAATCACAAAAGAGCATATCCGC